CCCCCCCCTCCACCGTTCGATCCATTTTGGATCTCACGCCGGAGAGTTTTGGGGTGTCTTAGCTCTAAGTCCTCCACCGCCCTATGGGGGACTTCAGTACTTTTTTAATGCCGTACCAATAGGCATTAACCTTAGGTAAGCTTGTGCTTACTTTGGACTGTACCCTCCTCATCTTCTGGGAGAGGTAGAGAGGAGGGGGGCGCATGGCCTCTATTTTTCAGGGGGGGTTCGGGTACTGGTTGGGGGTCGGTTCAATTTGTAATGCATCCTCGAGTTGTCCGCTCACAATAGCTACTGTGGATTTTCAGTATACAGCTATCCTTACTCAACGCGTCTATGTGTCCGGCAATCTCCACTACAAATCAACCTGTGAGGTTTCAGTATGCAGCTTTCGTTAATCAATGCGTCTATGTGTCCGGCAGTCGAAAACGTCACTCAACCCGTCAGGTCTCCACATGCAGCTATCCTCACTCAAAGCGTCTATGCGTCCGGCGCTTTCCAACATCACTCAACTCGTGAGGTTTCCGTATAACCATCCCCACGCAGCCCGTCGATCGATGTGTCTGGTAAACTCCAATGCAAATCACCTGTGAGGTTTCAGTATGTGTCTTTCCTCACTCAAAGCGTTGATGTGTCCGGCACTATTCAACATCACTCAACTCGTGAGGTTTCAGTATGTAGCTATCCCCACTCAAAGCGTCTAGGTGTCTGGCAAACTCAAAAACCAATCCATCTGTGAGGTTTCAGTATGTAGCGATCCTCCCTCAACGCGTACATGTGTCCGGCAATCTCCAATGCAAATCAAACTGTGAGGTTTCAGTATGTGTTTTTCCCCACTCAACCCGTTTATGTGTCTGGCAATCTCAAACCTCACTCAACCCGTGGGGTTTCAGTATACAGCTATAATCACTCAACACGTCTATGTGTCCGGCAATATCCAACATCACTCAACCTGTGAGGTTTCCGTAAGCAATCCTCACTCCACGCATCCATGCGTCACGCGTCTTTGGTAGCGCATACTATGGGGGGTATATTTGGGGTGGCGTGTTTTACAGCGCTTTGCCAACAGCGCCAACCCACTCAAGTCTAGATTGCGAGGAACACCGGGGGGGGGCGGCTTGTTTTACAACGTTGTTGCCAAGCGAC